CAACCCTAAAGAATAAGGTAGAACCTGCAAAATACCAAATAATGTGGATGAACTTGGAGGACATTACGGTGAGTGAAATAAGTCAGTCACAGAAGGACGAATATTGTATTAGTCCATTATGGTAAAAAGTCAAGGAAAGGTTTATATATGGAAGGAAATTTTCTTTGTTGATTGCCAGTGGTGGGAGGGGAGAGGATGGAACACTGTTAGGTAGAAACAAGCATTGATTTGGGTGAAGAGAAAGGCAATTTACCAAATGTGAGTGATCAACACGGTAGCATTGAGGAAGAGGAAGACATAGAGAGGTGCATGGGAGGTGCAGACAACAAAGATGAACCCTTTTGCACATACAGTGTTGCGTTGTCAGTGAAGGCAAACATGGGTATATGGGTGTAAATGAAACAAGATCTGTATCTCACACCATACACAAAAACTAACTCCAGATGGATCAAAGACTTAAATGTGAAACCTAAAAGTATAAAATTCCTCAAGGAAAAATTAGGAGTATATCTCGGAAGGAAGGTTGGGCAATCCTACTTCTGTAGTGATACTGCCTCGGAAACCCAAGGAGGGGTCGCTATGAGTCGGGGCCGACTCGACGGCACATAACAACAACAACAACAATATATGGCATGGGAGCTCTGGTAGCATAGTGGCTAAGACACTTGACTGCTCACCAGAAGGCTGGCGGTTCAAATCCACCAGCCACTCCTCGGAAGGAAGGTTGGGCAATCCTACTTCCGTAGTGATACTGCCTCGGAAACCCAAGGAGGGGTCGCTATGAGTCAGGGCTGACTCGACGGCACATAACAACTACAACAATATATGGCATAAATAGACTATCAAGCTTAGATGGGTGGACAGGCTGAACTATTAGGCATGTCTATGCAGAGGGGAGTGCACCCAAGACCATGTATAGGGTTGGCAGACAATGTTTCTACAAGTGTACTGCTATGTTCTGTAAGAATTCCCAGGTGTATAGTAGAGCTGACAAGTGACAAGTTCTTAGGCACAGCCAGCTACCCAGAGGGAGTGAATAGTTTGACCTGTGGGCTCAGGACTATAGTTGCAAGGGAAATCAAGCTCAATTGGCATAACATACTACACAAAACCACCTCCTACTTGTTCTACCTCCTACTTTGGTGAGTAGTGACTGGGATCTTAAAAGCTTACAAGCAGCCATCTAGATGCAATGATGGGTCTCTCCTCATCCAGAGCAAAGAAGAATGAAGAAAACCAAAGATTTATGGAAACAATTAGTCCAAGCAACTTGTATACCATGAGATCCTCAGCCTATATGATTATGAGACCAGAAGAACTAGATGATGCCCAGCTACCACTGTTAACTACTTGGAGAGGGATCTATGTAGGAGAGACTGGATAGAGTAGGAGAACAATGTAGAACAAAACTCAAAATCATTTAAAAAAAAAAAAAAAAGGACCAGCTTTGCTGGTCTGATAGAGCCTGATGGAACCCCTCAGACTATGGGCCCTAGCTGCCCTTCAGGTTTGGAATTGAACCCACTCCTATGGCTTCCAGCCAAACAAAAGACAGGCATATGAGGTGAACATTTACACTATGCAGATACATTCCTTGGAGAGAACAATCAGGAGAGAATAGAAGGGCTGTGTATGCACAGGGACATAGCTCAGGAGGCAGGAGGGCATGGAAGGAAGGACACAGGAAAGAGGTAACTATGGGGAGGAAGTAGGAGGGAAGATGTTGCATTGTGGTAAATTGTAGTCAATGTCATGAGACAAAGTGTATGTGAACTGCTGTATGGAAAGTGAATTTGTTCTGTAAACTTTTACCTAAATCACAATTAAATATATATATATATATATTTGATTTGTTTATAGTCAAAATCACTCAATAACACCTAACAATAACAAGAGGCCCTTTCCTAGAGTACCCTTCTTCCCCCTT